GGAAAAGACCAAAAGAGAAATCTTATTTCCTGAATAGCTTTGGACTTAAGTAAAGATACCCTTTTATTTCATGTACATTGTCGATGAACATTTATACACACACGCATATACACACACACATGGATAAAGCTTTGAGATTTAGAATTGGAACTAATGTAAGTGTTCTCTGAAGTTGGCCCTTGTCAAGTTCCTTGACATCATTTCCAAATATTGGTCATACTGACTTTGGAATTGGGAGATTCTCTGGTAGAACCTATCTCTCAACAGAACTCTGACCCACAGGACAGTCCTTCTTGGGGTTGAGGGAGGGGACAGTTTTCATGACTTACACAGCATCCAGCTTTGTCCCATTGAAAGCAAGTCCTTGGATTGAAGTAAAGCCATTGTTGTACAGTTTCCTACAACCAATAGAGAGAGAAGTCAGTGACCTGTGAGAAGTGGTGCTGGCACTTTTCTGAAGGGTTGGGTTTACTTTCCTTTCTTCAGTGTCAGAAATGCGCATAAAGGTTTTGCAGTCCCACATGTGTGCCCCCCAAGAACACTTTACAGTATGCCTTGTTTGAGACGTAAGATAATATTTCTCAGTTTGAATGTTCATTCTCCAGACTTAGCTCCTAATAAATTTAAGCTGTTTCTCAGAAGCAGATTTACTTTGAGAAACAAAGATTTGCTACCGTTAAGGATTTTAAAAGAATGTCTTACATACATTCAGAAAAAGAGGTGTCAGGTAATAGTTAACCCAATGTCAATAGTGGAGGAGGAACTGCAGTTTCTTAAAATGAATATTTTGAAAAACATTAATTTGAATGTATATGTTTTTTATTGTTCTGTTTAAAATGTTATTTAACATTTGCATTTTATCAATCTTTTTATCCTCAGGACTTATCATAGATTAAATGCTTAATGGTTGTGGGCTAAATTAAATTGAATCTCGTAGACAAAGCTATGAAGGTAGATAGACCATGCCCCTTTGTGGAAATTTTAATATTTTAACTTGTTGCTGTGTTTCTGCAACTAATTAACTCATAACAATGATTTCAGGGGGCCAGTCTGAAATGTTATCACTTGCATTTCTTAGTGAAGTTACTGAGACATGGAGGTGACTTGCCAAATATGCATTGGTCTAGAACTGTTGAGAATTAGGATCTCTGATGCCAAATATAATTCTTCCCACTTAGCAAAAGCATACATCCCTTCTGAAGAAGAAGGAGCCTCAGCCTTGGGAGCTCTGAGCCATATGGGGATGCATAGGAGTTATTAGTGGTTATTTGCACTAAGGTAAGAGAAGACAGCCATGACCACAGTCAGGTACAGCTAGTGGGAACCCCTGTTGGCAATTGTAGGGGAACTTTGAAAACTACAGCACCCTGCAACATGTGAACTTTGGCAACGCATTGTGAAGCATACAGGAGAGTCCAAATTTAGATTAGACCTGGCTCTGCCACTTAATAGCTGGGTGATCCTGAGAATTTCTCAACCTCTCTTATCCTCACTTTCTTTATCTCTAAAAATATGATAACGATACCTAAGCTAAAGGTTGTCGGGAGGATCAATTAACTCTATGTTTAACAGAGTGAGGCCTGCTTATGAAATGACCACGTTCAAAGAAGTATCCTAAAACCTGGATTTATCCTATATAGTTGTGGGAAGTGAGAAATAATCTCATGGTTTTGTTGTTGTTTATGTGTTTTTTATTTTATTTTATTTTTTTGTTTTAAATAATTAGATAGTGGGTTTAATTTCAGCTACTAAGGTGTCCTGGGTGAAGACTACAATATAACAGGAACATAGGCACAAAGGCTGAAGAAAACTCTAATGGATCAGTTAGTTTTTTCTGAACTAGATGGAGCTATTTTGTGAAGATGTGAGAATTATGCATTTGACATTTTTGTTTTCTCAAGCTTTTTGAGAGTCCTGCTCATTAGACATGTTTTTTGTTTGAATTTATTTCAGAGATGAAATAAAACTCATAATGAACAAATAGGCCTTGAAAAGGGAAAATAGTGAAGAAAGACAAAAGGATTATAGACTTTGATTGAAACTCTATCCTACCAGGAATATGGTTACAAATTCTGCTGTTGGAACATGTGTCCTTTCATGTGGATAGGTATTTAAGCATGAGCTTCAAAAAAGCAAGGACTTTTGTGGAAATGTAGAAATAATCATCTGAAAAGATAGTGAATAACCCATGCCTCCCCTCCTCTACAGTTCAGGAAATATGAGGTTTCCTCACTCAGATGTTTATGAAGTGCCCACGGGGCCCCTTGCCATGGCAGGTGTGGGACAGTGAGCTACTCTCACTTGCAAGGCTGCTTGAGATAGGGGGTCCTTAGAAAAAAGGTGCCGAAAGGTAAAGGTAGCATTCCTTAAAGGAGTTTAGAATGGAAGTGTTTCCTAGTGATGGGCACTAAATGGCACAATGGAAACCTTTACGGAGAGGGTAAGTGGCCTTGCAGTTTGGGTCTGAGCAGGCTAAGAGCCTGGGTCTTTTCTGTATGGCAAAAAGAAATGGTGGCTGAAAAGGTGACTCTTGCTTTTTCAAGAGAGCTCTCCCCGTGTTGTGAGAAGGATTAGCTGAAATACTCCACTTTGGATGGACTCCCAGGATGAAACAGCTTCATAGGGCTCAAATTTACAGACTTGGAATGGCTTGGAAAACAGCCCCTTAGGAGAATTGTGACTTGGATCAGTTTTTTGGCGGGGAGTAATTCCATCAGGCTTCTATCTGATAAAGACCCCCTGACTGCGGTGTGAGCAGAGAAAGGGAGCTGGAGTGACAGTCCAGGCAAACCCTGCCCCCCAGGCCTGAACTTGGGCAGTGGCACTGAAAACAGAGAGAAGGGATCCTTCAGAAGTAGCCCCAACTCAACTTTGAGGCTAATATGATGAGAGAAGAATTTTCTACCAGCTTGGAGAATTAATTTATCCTTTATACCTCTATTAGATCTTCTCTATTAGAATATTTTGTGAATATCCCCGATGAAGCATCTACTGCCCATCTAAAGAGCAGCACCCACTCGAGCTCTGGAAATGGTGCTGCATAACAGCACTGTTTTCTATTCCATACCCCCTTGTAGGAGCTTAATATTAGTTTGCAGTGACCGAGTGAAAGTGAGTTCTGAGTATGAAAAATCCCTTAGTGGTACCACTTTTCTAACTTAGTGACCTTGGGAAAGTCACTTAAATTTGCTTAAACCTCAGGTTCTTCTTCTATAGAATGGGGATCCTCAGATACAAAATATTGTACCATAAGGTCTGAAGGCCAAATGTGGTCCACTGCCTGTTTCTTTATCTTCTTTTTCTTTCTTTCTTTTTTTTTTTTTGAGGTTTTAATTCATTTTTATAAAATCTGAGCTGCTGAGCTTCAAGGTACAGCAATAGCTCAGGAAAGGTTGGGATTATCTGCTGGTCCCTGCCTCCCCAGGTCGGGGAGAAGGCGGGCTCATGCCAACAGCTGCAACTCCTCTCAACTCCCAGGTTGTGGGGGTGGGGTGGGCATAGGGGTAGGGAGAAGCTCCTGATGTTCAGACACTGCCTGCTTCTGCCTTCTCCCCATTTCCTTCCGAGCTGAGCCTGGCTGGCCTGGGGCAGCACAGAGGCCTAGGAGCAGTTGGAGGGAGGGGGATGAGGACAGGGCACCAAGGTGGGGAGGAACCTAGACTCTCCACTGAATCCTACAGCTCACCACTGAATTCACAGCACAGAAAACACCTCTAGTCCAACAACCCCATGGGGAGGTATGCAGAGTCCATGGTCCAAAGGGGCAGGTGGATGAGCGATGGGC